AGACAGACAGACAGACAGACAGACAGACAGACAGAACAGACAGACAGACAGACAGAGACAAATAGCTAGAGGGAAGTATAGACAGGAGGGAGAGAGAAAGAAAGAGAGAGAGAGAGAGAGAGAGAGAGAGAGAGGGAGAGAGAGAGACAGAGGGAGAGACAGAGAGACAGAGAGAGAGATAGCAAAGAGACAGACAGGAAGAGAGAGAAAGAGAGAGAGAGAGAGAGAGAGAGAGAGAGAGAGAGAGAGAGAGAGAGAGAGAGAGCAAACAGACAGACAGGAAGAGAGAGAGGGGGGGGGGGAAGAGAGAGAGAGAGACAGACAGACAGACAGACTGATAGACACAGAGACAGAGACAGAGAGGGAAATATTGACAGGAGAGAGAGAGAAACAGACAGACAGACAAACAGACAGACAGACAGACAGACAGACAGACAGACAGACAGACAGACAGACAGACAGACAGGCAGAAAGATAGAGAGACACGGAGAACGAAGTATAGACAGGTGACAGACAGACAGAAAGACAGAAAGACAGACAAACACAGAGACAGAGACTGAGACAGAGACAGATAGAGAGACACAGAGAGTGAAGTATAGACAGAAGAGAGCGAGAGAGATAGAGGGAGACAGTCTGACAGACAGACAGAGGGAAGGAGAGAGAGAGAAAGAGAGAGAGAAAGAGAGAGAGAGAAAGAGAGAGAGAAAGAGAGAGAGAGAAACAGAGACAAATAGATAGAGAGAGACTGAGAGGAAAGTATAGACAGGGAGATAGATAGAGAGAGATAGATAGAGAGATAGAGAGAGAGATAGAGAGACAGACAGACAGACAGACAGACAGACAGACAGACAGACAGACAGACAGACAGACAGACAGACAGACAGACAGACTGACTGACACACACACACACACAACAGACAGACAGACTGAAAGGAGAGAGAAAGAGCGAGAGAGAGAGAGAGAGAGGGGGGGGAGAGAGAGAGAGAGAGAGAGAGAGAGAGAGAGAGAGAGAGAGAGAGAGAGAGAGAGAGAGAGAGAAGAGTGGGGAAGGGGGAGACTTTTACTGAGACAGAGACGGAAGGATATTAATAATAACACCCCCCCCCCTCTCCTTTCTCTCCTCTCCCATCACTCCCGCCGTTCAAAATCGATATTATCAAACCAAATGCGCAAAATAACAATATCTTACTTTTCAAAAACGGCGATAAAATCGAGAAAAAAAAACCCAAACAACAACAACAACAATAAGTAAACATAATAATTTGAGACTTACTTTGGGGAAGAATTCCAAAATAGGAATGTCTTCTGTGTACTCCACACGTTCCCCGGCCCTTATGAAGCACTTGTCTCCTGTACAATTAGTGCCCTCATCTCCCACTGTGAAGGGAATCTCAATGGGCTGTTTCTCCGGGATAGGGAACACGCCCCAGGCCCTGGCCTGGATTGGCCCATGGATGTCCTTACCTGCACAAATAACAAGGTAAAAGAAAAGAAAAGGTGAATCTGTTGTTGTTACTGTTGTTGTTGTTGTTATTATTATTGTTACTATCATCATCATCATTATCATTGTTACTACTACTACTACTACTACTACTACTACTACTACTACTACTACTACTACTATGGCGTGTTGGTTAGACTCTTTGCTGTGAGTTTAAACCCTCGAGGAGAAGTCATGAATCTGTCTTTCTTCTGGCGTGCAATGTTATTCTCAGCCTAGGTTGGTATCTTACTTACTCTCTATGTATACCCCCTGTACTGTCAGCGACATGGGGCAGAGAGCAGTCGACGCCACGGTTGTCTATCCCTGGCCACCTAGTTGGTACCAGAAGAATCTTTATTACACAAGATATCTTCTTTTTTAACTTTTAATTTCTTCAAGTATGGATGTCCGGGGCTCAGTTGAGAGTCAGGTCTTGCACTGCAGGGTTTATCATTGCAAGGAGATATATTCGTCCTTGTCCTAGTCAACTAAAGCTATAAAGAATTAGTTTTTGTTATTTCACAACAAAAAGTGTTATGAATCTTCGAGTGTAAAAGTATAGAAATAAGATGTACTTGCATGAAATATGCCGCGGAATAAGCATATATAAGTATAAAACGTTGAATATACTACAATGTGTGGCATGCTTAGAAATAAACATGTGCTCACGTGCTGTAAATTGTATTGAGATCCTTGCGTAGCTGCCTCTTGTGAACACACAGGGTAGGGAGTTGGGGCACTGCTCTACAGTCACTTCGATGTTTTCTCCTAGCACAGAGGAGTCTGTTGTATCTGTATCTATGGGAAATACAACAGTGTTCTAGTGGTAGTAGTGTATCAGCAGTGCCATTATTGTAAGTGGGCAGTGGCGTGGCTCTCCAAGCGCAAATGGCGCCATGGCGCCACCCTTTGAAAAGGAGAAAGGATTTTCAAAAAAGGGAACACGATGTTCCAAAACTTAACAAAATATCACAACATTTTTTTTTCAAACCAATCTCTTATTCCTAAGTACTCCAGTCTTTAGTTAAGGTGTCTATTATTAGGCTAGTGGGAGGAGGGCGGGTAATACGGGGTGCCCACTGGTGCCCACTACGGATAGGATCGGCTGATCGGGCCGATCGCCCGACTCGATCGCCTCAAAAACAAACGTGTTTGTTTTCAGTTTCAGGCGATCGAGTCGGGCGATCGAGTCGGGCGATCGCCCTTATCCGGCCGGAGGGGGGCCCCCCACATAACCCCCCGGTTGCCGGCCGCAAGGGTCCTCCCCCGCCTTCTTTTCGTTCCCTACGTCTGGACTTCCCCGAGGGGGG